TCCCGCTCTGTGGCCGGCGCGGCCGGTCCGGGCCGTCCGGGCCCCGGCTGCGGCGCCCTCCACACCTTTGGCTGGCGCCTGGGATTACGACGGACCGTCTGCGACCGCTGCGGGAGGCGGGAGAGCAAGGGTGCGTGTGGTGGGAGGGGAAAAGGGTGCGCCAGCGTGTGTCTCATTAGCGACAGAAAAAGGAACGGACGATTTTGAGATGCGCGCTGCTCCGAAGGTTAAAGGAGGCAAAGAAACCGAATGACAAAAAAATAAATGTGTAGGCGGTTCATTACTTTGTTTGAAGCGGAGCTGTCCCCGAAACAAAACACCCTGGTGGCGTGTTGGTGTTATTACCCCTAAAGTAGACCTGTCGAACGTACTGCGATTGCGCAGATAGACAAAGTATGCCCCGGCCGGTCCCTGGCTGACTAGCCTCGGGACTCCGACCCGTGTGCTGGTCGTGCTCGACACGAAGCTCGACAAAGACTTGACTCAACGCGGGGCTGGGCTGGTGCTGGGTGCGCCAGCCGGCCGACCTGCCGTGTTGTACCCAAACCAGGAGGACATCCATAAAATTGATAACGAAACGTGTTTCAATTTACTGGACATGAAACTGCACGTCCACCAAGCAGCGCTGGACAAAGTATGACGTTATAGGTGAGCCAGCCACGCCCGGCTTGCAAGTCGTACACGACGTCGGTCTGTGAATGTTGAGGGTTGGTAGACCCGCCACGGGTTGTGACCCGCCGAGCCGAGGTCCCCGCGGTCGCCCCGCCCACCTCACCCTACCACACGGGGATGAGAGCCCCGCCAGGCCCCACCGCTGTTGGGGGGCGACATTTGTTTCAGGATGAAGTGGCTCCCACGGTACTATGTAGCTGTAACCCCGCGCTGTTCGCCGTCATGGCGTGGCGGTGGGGGGCGGGGCGTAGCGTGGCGTGCAGCTTTGCCAGCAGCACTAGAGTGCTGCACTTCGCACGCCTCTTCACAAGTATGCGGCATCATGTTGTTACCCTGCATCTAACTATCTGCGCGGTTCAGTTTTGGCGTTTCATCACTGATCCAACCTTTACAGATGCCCCTACAAAGGTCTATTTACTAGGGAAGTTAACTATAACACTAACACTACAGTAATTTGAGAATCTAGAAATCAAGTATGAAGCACTCAATAGCATGTGCCACTGTGCTACTCAGGTTACATTCCTGCTGCCGAAGGGTTGTCATTTATTACTTTTCCTTATCATTGCTCAGATGATTGATGGAACCTTCTAAACCACAAAAATAATCGTGTGACATAAACGATGTGTGAAACATTTGTCACTTGGAAGTATATATTATATATTGTGTAAACTTACGTAAAACCGTAAAACACTATGAGTGACTTCGCTTACACGCGCACACATTTTACCACGGGTTTTGTATTTTTATGTTGCATAGTAATTTTTCAGGGGTTTAACAAGAAACGGCTGCAAGCATCCACCACAGTCGGGGTGACGGCATCTCCAGCTCCCCTCACTCTACTCTGCTGAGGTTTTTTTCATTTTTTGTGTGTATCCCGGGCCACTCTGCCTTCTCTCCCTCGTCTCTCTCTCTCTCTTCCTCTCTCTCCCGCCCCCTTTCCCATCCCCTCTGTCTGAAGCGATATGTGCGCCTGCGTTTCCAGCGGCGTCTCGTGATTGGCCGGCAGATTGTCTTCTCGATGTGATGTGCGCCAACAAACTGGACCCTCTCGGCATGGGAGCAACAAAAAGAGAAGGAAACGCAGAAATAATAAAACAAAGAGAGGAAAGGGACAGTCTGTGGCAGAAAGAGTTGAAACTGCGGTTGACTGTACAAGACGGTGACGGATGGACAGCGCCCCGCCCGGACGCCATAATCATTACAACGTCCCGGACGCCACCGCCGGCGCCGCCGGGGTGCGTTGATTCCACGCTGGAGATACTCTGGAGCTCCTCTGGGCGCCGCCGGGGCCCCGGCTAGGGCCGCGCGCAGGACCCATCCCGACCGGAGGACCGGCTCTCATAAAACGTGAGGATAATTAAAAGGACTTTGGGAGGGTCCGATTGTTTCGACCGGCATGGCGGCAGCAGCGACGCGCGCGCGAGTGGAGTGAGAGAGAGAGAGAGAGAGAGAGAGAGCGTGTGGACGCCGGGTCATAAACACACACTGTGTGTGTATGTGTGTGTGCCAGCGTGTAGAGCGCGCGGATGCTTGTCCAAGATATTGAGAGTTGTTGGATCGCGTCTTACGGCGTTCGCATCAAACAGCTTTTGAAGGCGGTCCTTCTGATAAAGCGAATGTAATCGAGGGGGAGGAAGAGGCATTTACGGGCAAAGGAAAAGAAACACCCGAGTGCGAGATGTGATTTTTGTTATTCGGCAGAGGAGTCACCGAAAAGCTAGAAACATTCGCTGATTCCGCGTGCAGTGTTTCGCAGAGAGTGTCTGGCTGCCGGTCCCGATGGATTGGCACCGTCGTGTACTTATCATTGTCGCGTTATGTTCGACAACGGCTTTCGTCGCTCGCGCCTCGATATTTACGGCCCCGGCATATCAGCTAGGACAAATCCGAATCTTGTTTCTTGTTTTGGGGGTCGGCGTTGCTGAGGCTGATGGGTGGCGTAGGTGCGACCGGAGGTGGTGTGGTTTATGGTTGGAAGAGGTAGGGTTGGGTTGGGGCTCGAGTCGGAAAAGGTCTCAACGTTTTCCCCTGCGACAGGGATGTCCTGGAGGCGTTTGAGTCCTGGCGGGGACACGGACCGGAAGTGATTTGGGGCGTAATGGCGGCCCGTAACCCCTTCTAATGAAGGTGTATTGATGTCGTTGGTGTGTCGCGCCGTCGTTCGCTTTACCGAGGCCCCTCCACTGTGTTTTTATGACGCCTGTAATGTGGACCCCTCCCTCCCCCCGCCAGCCACAGCCCTTTGCTTGCGGCCATTAATTAGCGTTTTTAGCGGTTCGACACAAGGATTGTGGCTCTCCAGTACGCTTGTCGCTTCCTGTCGTAACAGCCCCGCCGCAATGAAGAATTCTCCTCGGGTGGCCCTGGCCCAGAAGTAACGAGGACAATAGACCTTGCCTGCCTATCACGAGAGCTGGGCCGGTGTTTAATTTGTCAAGATATAAAACTATTAACTGAATAACCACTCAGCCCGCTGCTTCCGCCGTACTACACTCGAAGGACAACAGCGGGGCGCATGCGGTCAAGGGCGGTGCGCATAAGAGCCGCGCGGGGGGAGTCGGTCGACGCCGCCCCCGGGGCGTCGATGTGAAGTACGCGCGCCGGGGCGTCGCGGCGCCTCTCGCGGCGCTGGTCGCAGCCCGCGGGAAAAAATGGGGCGGCTGCTCGGCTGGTGGAGGCGGTTAGCGGCCGCACCGCGCTCTGCCGTCACGCCACGCGACTGTGCTGCACAGTACGCGCGCCGTGCGTGTCGCCAGGTGAGCCGCGGACCGGGTCCCGCCGCCCGCCGCCAGGGGGCACCACCTACCGCACCGGCTTTTTTTCTCCCCCCATCTAGTTTTAATTGTGCAAGAGGACCGGTCGCGCGCGCCAGCTGCCGCTCGTGGGGTTGAGGGGGGGCGACGCGCGAGTGAAGAGCGGGAGGGGAGGGAACGGAGCAGGGAGGGAGCGAGCGGAAGAGCGCGGGAGCGGTGGAGGGGATGGAGCGGCCGGTGGAAGGGGGGCCCGGCCGCGCGCGTGCAGCAGGTAGTGCTAGGGAGAGGGGGGAGGAGGAAGCGTGGGGAGAGAGAGAGACGCCGATGGAGGGGGGGTAGGGGAAGCGAGGATTCCGCGACGGATGGCCGTGAGAAAAGAGAGGCGATGAAAAGTGTAGTGTCGCGGAGCGCAGTGCAAATACAAACGGGGAGGGGGGAAGAGAGCGGGGAGCGGACCGAGTGCGATTGCGCGCGCGAAAGAGAGAGAGAAAAAACGTAGGAAGAGAAGAGGGGAAGTTTAGTTTGACGACTCGCGGAGGGGGACCGCGGGGCGCTGCGGTCGCCCTGGAGCTCATTGAGGACGGGAGCGGCGGCCCGCGCGCACGTGCGTGAGGGGTGTGTGTGGGTGTCGTCTGCTGCGACCGGCCTCTCGAGTGTTACGGAGAGGTTGCTTTGTCTATCTGGTCTTTCAATGTGTAAGATCACGGCTCGTGTGTTCCAGTAATGGTATTACAACTGTTTACAACTGTATGCATCTGCAAGTGTATACCACATCCTGAAAAAATCTTGCTTTTGAGTTTTGGGATCATTTGAATCTATAGCATTCTAACCCTTCACTTTTATTCAAACACCGTGACGTTATTGCAAAGACTGTAGCTTTTGTGTTATTGGTTAGAATACTGTGACACATTCGTTTTAACGTTACGTAGCTACGCTACGCATTCCATGCACAAAGCCAGTATAAGGGCAGAGCGAGACACGGATTAGATTTGATTGAATGTGACGTTGCAGAGATTATGAATGTATAATAATAGTCACTGCAGATACTGAAGTGAAATGTCTGTCCTAAAAGTAATGATTTAGGAATTCCTAAATAAAGAGCGAGGTTAACCTCGCTCTTTATTGAATGTGATTCTCAAATCTCAAGCAATATAAGAGACATTACCTTCAGGAATCCGTACTCAAAAAGAGCGAGGTTTCCCAATTATCACTCAATCAGTGATATATTCTTGAATCTATTGCTCTGATTGAACGAGGATATCAAACCTCACTCCCCAGAGAGCAAGGGAATTTACAGCATATTCTCGCTCCCCGGAGAGCGAGAATCCTCCTTCTAGGGTTTCTTGTGTGTCGATTCAAGTCCTATCGGTTCTTAATTAGAAAGCCATGTTCTTATTTCCTTGTTCTCCAATTAAGTGCGAATCCGTTACTTACAAGTGCAACTTTCTGATGTAGATTAAGTTGGGTGCGCCTGTATACACTTTGAACATGAATCAAATATTCTCTTGGTACTGATAGAAACAACGTTCCTTTGATGTTGAGCATTAGATTTTGTGATTAGTTCTTAGATCCAACTTAAAATTTGCCTGCTCGTATTTTATTTCAAAATGCGTACATCGAAGCATGTTAATATGAAAGTGTTAGACATGCGTTTTCTTTTTATCTCGTGGTAATTTGTTTTACCGTACACATATTTTAGACGTGTATAAGGGGACCGGCAAAACAAAATAAGATTTATGCCTGTACGATTTGAAGGGCCATCGGGGGCTGGTTGTGGCGGGGCCACGCGGTTTCCTGTGCGGGTTTGTGCAGGGTGGTGGGGCCTGAGAGGGCGGCAAGAGCCGGGGCGGGCACGCTTTAGGGGAAGTGAGGAATACGAGGTCCGCCGCGGGCCGCGCGCCCTCGCAGTATATCATGCCATTAGAGAGCGATGCAGTGCCTCCCACTGCTCCCCTCCCTCTGCTCAGGGCTGTCTCCCCCTTCCCCGGCTCTCTTTCTCGCACACACTCTCTCAGTCTCCGTCTCTATCACCCGCTCTGTGACCCACCCTCTCTCCAGGCCCTTTATTTTAGACGCGCAAACGCAATGCGAGTGTATATTGTGTATCTATCTCGGTAAATATGCCCATGCAAAGTGAATTTTGTACATGAAGCGTAGGCTTTTTATAGAAGTCGAAATAGTCGCGCGCAACACTTTGTTATCTTTTAACCTGATCGTTATTTGTTTAATTAGAGCACTTTTGTTTGTAAATTAATTCGATGCAACAAAATTTTCCCAATGAAGCAATTTCAGTTGTAAGGGTAATAATATAAGTCAGAGCATTCTTCGTTTACCCTAATTTCGACTTGATAGTTTAAGTATCCCAGAAGTACTTGGTTTCAAAATTCAGAAACAACTCATAGCAGGAGGAGGTGCGTTTAACTTTCCTCTGGTTTCAGTATACCTAAATTGTCATCGCACATTACATTCCACTTTCTTGACATGCCGCGGCTCTGATATATTACTGAAGATACAACACAACTCATATCAGTTGCAATATTCCGGCACTCTGCAACATAAATCAATTCGTCTCAGTTATAAGTAGGTACACTTTGACTCACATGGAACAACATACCATCTGCAAATAATTTTCCGCACTTAAATTTAACCGTAGTCCTCCACCAATGCCAGAAAAAAACGATCGAAGAGTGGTGGGGCCGGCCGAGGCTTCTCGCTCGAGATGCACCAGCGTGTCGCCGAGGATGTTGTTGAGCCGTGCCGCCCGCGCGACCCCCGAGCTGGCAGCTGACTCGCTGACTCGGCCAGGCGGGCCGCGTGGTAGAGCCGGCGCGAGGAGGGTCCCCCGCGGTGGTCTCCTGTTCGTTCCACCCTGCCCGCCGGCGCAGCTGTCCAAACTCTGAGCCTCGGTAAACACGGCAGAGCCGGCTGCGCGGGCTCGCGGCGACGCGCTGGCGGCCGCCTCCCCTCCCGGCCTGCTCCCCGGGCCGCCATTGGCCCGCGTGCCCGGGCGCGGCGGCGCGGCGGGGCGGGGCGAGCGCTGCACCAATCAGCGGGCCGCCGGGCGGCCGCGCGCCGGAGGGGAGGGCGGCGCGCCGGCGCGCTGCTGCGGACGCGCGCGCGCGGTGCACCGGCCACGGCTCTGGGAGCGGGGGAGGGGCGCGTCCGGGCGGCCACCAGAGGGCGCTGCCATCGCCGAGCTGCCCGTCCGAGGCGCGCGGGCCGCCGGCGAGCCGCTGTAGAGGGGGGCCGGGCGGGCCGCGGAGTGGGAGTACTGTCTGCCCCCCCTCCGCCGGGCCTGGGCGGAGCGGTCCGCACCCCTCTCCCGCCGCTGCCGGCGCGGTGGTGGTGGGGGGCGGACGGCCGGACGAGGAGGAGAGACGGAGAGCGCGGCGGCGGGCTGATTTAAAACACGAGGAGGAGCAGAGTTTGGAGAAGAGCCGCGACGAGATGCCGACGGGAGCGAGCGAGACGGAGAGAGGTGACTTGGGGGAGAAGGCAGGGGAGGTGGCAGAACAAGAAAGCGACGGGTAGAATCGAGTGCGAAACGGTCGAGTCGCGGAAAAATGGACCAGAGTGGATCGGTGCGCACTCTTCTCTTAGTTCCCCTCTCTTCCCGCCGCAGATCCCTGGCGCCGGCCGGTAGCTACCCCCTCTCTCTTTGGTGTCCATCTCTCTCTCGCTCCATCTCCCCTTCTATCCTACCTCTCTCCATTCCAGCTACCGAAGAGCTGTGCGCGGCCGCAACAGTTCCGAAGAACAGCGCAAAGAAGACACGAAAAACAGCGGCCCTTATGGTAAGACCCCTGCAATATCGTGGCTTGACCCCACTTTCCTACATCCTGTTTCTGTCTCTTACAGCTCTCTCTCTCTCCCTCTCTCTCCCTCCCTCCCTCCCTCTCTCTCTCTCTCTCTCTCTCTCTCTCTCTCTCTCTCTCTCTCT